ATTGAAAAGAAAAGAATACAAGCAAATGTCTAGCCACCACAAAGATACACCTCTTTTTAATGAAAAAAAAGAAAAAAGAAAGGCTCGATATTGTGATTTGGAGGGTCAGGATGATGTTACTTGTGATTACGAACAGTATAGTGCATTCATTGTATCTGAGCAAATAAATATACCAAGCTCAAGCCAACATTTAAATTTAGTTGGCAAAGCCTTATGCCAAAAACATTATAACAGACTGATAGTAAATGCAAAAAAAAAGCTAAAACTAATGCTAATGTATGTTCGCATCCAAAGCATGAGTTTTATCTATCTACAGCTCAATATGGTATGGAAGGAAAGAAATTCAAGAAGGCTCCAAAACGATTAATCAGATTCTTTGAACTAGCGTAAGGGGCAATGATGTGTCATCATTATTTATACAAAACTGATGATGATTCAGAACATGTTAATTCATCCAATTATATGCTACCACCTGAAAGAATTTTAAAAGAGGATATAAGAGAATTTCAAGATAGGTTATATGTATTACAAAGTGATGTTTTTTACTCTGAATCTGAATTTCAGGAACTGGAATCTGCATATCACGAAGTATGTGCAGAGCTTGATGAAATGAAATTAGGTAAATAAATAGTTTTATTTGTAACTGTATTTTAAATTGCTTTTTATATAGTTGATGTTTTGATATTTTTTTTTTAGAGATGATTCCTCTTGGTAAGAAGATTAAACTAATGGCAGGAGTTTTGTATACAAGGCAGCATATATATCATAAAAAACCTATTTTAGACCCAGAAGAATTCAAGACAATGCTTGAGAAAGCTGAACCACTGTTGAAAGGTTTTTTTGACCAATTAGTAGCCGGAACTAACCCACAAACTAAGAGTCATATGATTAATCAAAAAAATAGGACGAGAATGATTTCGTTTTGTTATTTTCTAGCGGAACTTAAAAATAAATTTATTAATAGAGTTAAAGCAGAAGTCGGGCTTTTACTAAATTCGACTGGGATGTCTTCATCAGCAATAGAAACCTTAGTTAATGCAGGCTTGACAATAAGACGTGAGACCATTACAAGACATAAAGCTTAGCACGCAAGGATATATATGATGACGGTGGAAAGGTTTTTATCAGAAAATGTAAGTATACTAGACATACGAGTATTTTAAGTCCTTGGTTTGTAAATAATCAACTAATATATAACTTTTAATAGGTTGAATACTTGGTTATTCTCAATGTGAATGATTTTTATAATATTCATGAATATCGTCGCAGTGATACGACTACTACATATGAAGTTACCCATTTTGTTACAATACTTCTAAAAGCCTTGCCAGAAATCGTGTTTATTCTATTTTATAATCCAAATCAGGAAAAGAGTATCCATAACGAAAGTGGTATTGATGCAAGTATTATTATTCGTAATGCTAATTCATATTTCTTCCCTTATTTATGGCTTAGTTATACAAGACGAAAGCAGGCATTTATTAAGTCATCTGTACCAGAGACCCACAATGAATGAGTTGAACGTCTCTTAATTCACAGCTACGATGACAGAATTGAACAACGTCAGACCGATTGAAGCATAGAGAATATGAAACTTGTTGATCTGAAAGAAGGATCCCTTCATTCAACTAAGGATTATGTAAATGCTCTTAAGCATTTAATAGATAATATTGGAGTAAGAACATACATAGAAACACGAGTATTGGTGTTACCTATGAACTATCCTGGATAGCTTCATATATGACGTGCCGTAGCTCATCATGTCAGTGTTGAAGATTCATCGGAAATACCAGAACAAATTTTACATATCGTTCTGATGATTGGATCTTTACATGTATCCTTGAATAGTCGTAAAACCGTATTTCTTGCTAATTACCAATTTTTTGATAAGCTCTTTCACGAGGTATTTGGACATAGGAAGGTATTGGCAAAAAAACCAAAACCATATAAGATTAATTATTGTTAGAAATAGCATTTCAAGGGTGAACTCAAGTGCGTTTGATAGTATTACAAAAATTTGAACAATATAAAGATCTGGAAGCTAGATATTTTATTAATCTACTAGACAATATAATTCTGCTAGTTTAGTTTTAGATATTTATGCCATTTTATTTTGCAGTGAAAATTGGCCAGCATACAGAGAAGCCATGTTTCGTGTTTGGGCTATTTTTTACCAATATCAGCGTAGAAACTATAAGTTACCATTGGCATTTTTAAGTGATATTTTTTATTGGGCTGAAACTGATCATCCTATCTCTCAAGTTTTTTCAGATTCACTTCATGTATTTAATGATTATTACGTGAAAAACTTTCACAGCTCACTTCGAAGGCAAATACGTAAATCAAATACAGCTGAACAGATTATTCAAGAAGCGCGAATAATTGATCAGATGCGTAATAGTAACTCTTTCACTGAAGTATTTTCTGAGAATCATAACATCAGATATTCAGCAAAACAGCTAGAATATCTTGAAAAACATATTGCTCTCTTTCTTTTAAATTTATTTACGGGTATTTACTAAAATCTCGGTAAATCATCATATCCAAATTCCAAAACTTACGAACTTCTGACACTCAAAGCTCAAGTTGATGTTAAGGTGTTGCCAATGGCTTGGAATACATCACATACGTCCTGAAAAGATAGATACTGTGACTTGGAGGATTGTATAAATCTTCACGAAGTAGGTTGTATTTTAACTTGTGGACATGCTTATCATTTTGAATGTCTTTTATTTAAAATAGGTAATCAGTATCATATTGTATCAATTATCTTGTGAGTGGAATTGAAAATAATTGTAAGGCTTTTCAGAAAAGCGTGAGTTCATTTAATGGAATGATCACGGATGAGTATATAAATGAGTTGAATGTTATAGAAACTGAGACTGGTGATACTAATAATGATGAAGACTTTATTATAAATAATAATATAGATTTACAATTTGAAAGAGCTGTAAATGCTTTAATAAGTGCATAATTTAAGGAAATTACTATTACATATAAGGTTACAAAAATGCTAATGGATTGGGATATAAACGGCGGTTATGATTTTTGTAAATATTATTTTTATATTTTATAAATGCAATAATAAAAAATAAAAAATCAAGTTTATTTTTGTCTTTTAAATATTTTTTTGAACTAAATCATCAAAATATGATAATTTTAACTTTTAATTCTTTAATAAAATTACTTAATTATTATTTTCTTTGATTATCATACTTCTCACATCATTTTAATTTTGTTACTTTTGGTAATTTGGTGATAAGATATTTTTTTTGATTTAATCGTTTGTATATCACGTGATCATGCCAATTTAATCAACTAATAGAATTTTAGTAATAATAAAAAATAATCTACAAAAATTAGCCAATCACAATGAAAGCCCGCTATGCTGATTTAACGTATAAAATTTAACAAAAATTATATATATATTATACTGATTAGACATATAAATTCAGTATTATTTTGCATACGGAAAAAGATGATTTTCAGTATCTAGTATACGAAATTATTTACGAATTTATTATACTGTTTTTCTATATTTATTATACGTTTTTTAAACGTATTATTTTCATATACTTTCCTTTTACATATTATTTATAGGGTATTAATATCAATAAAACTGCTAAAGAACTTTTTACTAATACTATCATTAAAACAATTAATGAAAAATTTGTCTGTAATAACATATTCAAGAGTTAATATTATATATATCAATTTTATCAGATCTGCAATTTTAATAAAAAAGCAATATACATAACTATTAATCTTAAATTTTCTAATATCTATAAAATTGAATTGAAATTTTAAATTTATTAAAATATTAAAAAAAAATTATTTAAGACTTAAAGTTAAAATAAATATATAGATAATTCTTTTTTATCAACAGTTAAGTATAATCTTTCTAGTTTTTTACCTTTCTTTTTTGATATATTATCTGATATTACAAGTAAAGAAGTCGAAACAAATCTTATTATACTATGTAATTCTAAAATATATTTCAGTTCAAATAAGTAGAGTTTTACCTATTTTTTATATTAGTAATAATATCTTGAAAATTTTTAAAAAATCTTAGTTTTTAATAATTCATTTTACACTTTACATACTTTACGTAAATAGTATATTTATTTTAAAAAACAAAAAAGCTTGTAAGCTTTTAATATGAAGATAAATAACTTTATATTCATAATTTCAATTTATTCTGAATTGATAATTGTAATATATACATTGTATAGGGCTGATATTATATATTATAAATATGATTTTTATATAATAATCATAATCATTTAATTATATATAGCAATGAGATTAAAAGAAAAAAAAATTCTTTTTCTTATAGATAATATGTCTGTTTATACTTTATATGAAGATGTGGAATTAACTAATATAAAAATTAAAATTTTATCTTCTAGCATTTCAACTATATGATAAATATATTATAAACAGTTTTAAGCCATCAAAATTTAAATAATTAAAATTTTTAATTTAACTTACAATATTTGCATTTTGTAGGCATAATATCAAAAATTATTTCTTCAAAATCATATTAAAGTTTTTGACTATCTACAAGAAACTGGTTATAACAAATCTCCAATTAATATTAAAAAAGTTATTAAATATGTAGCTTTAGTCTAGAATAAAGTTCTTTCTCAAACTATATTCAACTGCTAAAATGAAACAGAAATTTTACCAAATGATACAAATTCTTATAATAAAATAGAAAATGAGTATAAAGAGATAAATGAGAATGAATTATCTAATCAATAAACTTGAGTATATACAATACTCTCATCTGCTGAAGAATACATTAGGTTAGATCATGAAAATAAGAATGCTAGTGTACCATTATCTGAAGAACAAATTATTGCTATTCTCAAAGAAAATAATATTATTTCTGATAATGAAGATGATAAGAATATTATTTTAGTAACTAGTTTTGAAGCTCTAAATGCATTTGATAAAATTTTTGACTATTTGAAATAAAATGATAATTAAGATATTGTTGATAAAAACATGTTAAAAGTAATAAAAAAAATTAAAAAATCAGTTTATAGAAATCATTTTTTCCAAAAAGCAAATAAACTTAGATTTATTTATTAAAGATGAAGATAGTAATAAGTCAAATGATATTTATAGTGATCTAATTAGTAATAATAATATAAATAAAAAGGGTGTTAATAATAATATTATAAATATGAAAAATATCAATTTTAGAGTTTCGTATTTTAATGAGTTTGGTTTTTATAATCAGAAAGAAAATGGTTTTATTAAATATCAACTTAATCAGAATATCCTTTATAAATAATATATAGTAAGTTGGTTATTGACATTACTTAATAAAGCAAGATATTTAAGTAATGTAATATATACTTTTATTAATCAATGCGTTAAATCAATAATTAGCATAAATATCATGTGATTATATCAGTATAGTAAAAATCTTATCTTTATTTGCTATTTATAGTTAACAAATTTCCTTACTATAGTGAAGTGTGATCTTTATTACACAAAATTTGTTGTAAAAAGAGTGAATTGTATAAAAAAATTTTTAATTTATATAATAATATATTAAAATAAAGTTTTCTAAAAGTTTAATTAAAAAAATCATTAGTAATAAGCAATAAAATTTTAAAAATAGCTTTTACAAAGTAAAATTTAGTAATATATAAATTTTTTATTAAGAAAATCTTATCAAAATAACTCTGTATTTCAGTTTTATTAAGAAAATAATAAATAACAGTTTACTAAGAAACTTAGTAATAACTGCTATTATAACTTTAATTTTACCAAGAAAATTTAATAATAACTGCTATTATGACTTCAGTTTTATTAGTTATTATTATCATCATAATTTTAAAACTATTTTATTAATATAAAATATTTTTGAAGCTGCAATGCTATTTTTCACTAGTTTTTCTAAAAAAAAGACAGTTTTACAGATATATTTTTTTATTATAGTTTCTTAATAAAAAAACTTCTCTAAAGTCATAACATCATTTTATATTATAATTTTTTAATAAAAATATCTCTAGAATCATAGAGAAATTTTTTACTTTAGTTTTTTAATAAAAAATAATTTTGAAGTTATAAAAGTATTTCTAATTATATTTTAGTAAAGTAAATAAAATCCTATAAATAAGTAAGAATATGCATCTTAGTATTATGAAAGTTACGCAATTTTATAAGTTTTTATATAAAATGCAAAAATTTGAGATGTTTATTTAGCTAAAAATATTAAAGGATGATGAATGACTTAAAATATAACTTGTAATTGAAACTTATTCCTATATACAGAGGAATATAAAAAGTATTAGCTGTTTTTTAAAAATTTATTATGACATAACTAACATATTAATTTTATTTTATTTTTTTTATATTATTAAATTACAGGTTAATATTTAGTTAGACCTCTATTTGCTGCAAAAACAGCTTGAATCTGACGCAGTATTGGCTTGATCAAATTATGGTAATATTCTATGAGTACCGCATCCCATTTCTCTTTAATCCAATGTTCTAACTGTCTAACACTTGATGGTTGAGAATCTTATTTACGGATCTTAACCTCGATATATGACCATATATTTTCTATTGGGTTAATATTGGGGCTTTAGGCTGGCTAGGGAAGCACCTCAACATTTGAGAATGAGAGGAATGAATGTGCAACTCTTGCGGTATGCACAGGCGTGTTATTTTCTTGAAAAAACAATCTTTTTGACTTTTTTTTGCATGAGACTTGATTGTGAGAATGATATAATTAGCTAAAATATCACGATGTGTAACTCCAGTAATGTGACCTTCTAAGGGGACCAAAGGACCCAAGCCAACTCAGGAGAAACACCCTCAGAACAAGCGACCAAAGCTCTTTTAGACCATGGTGTAATACAATCTTCATAAAACTCTTCAGAAGGTTCATATTACACACATCCGAAACCTGAAGTTCTAAATTGTGTGTAGGTAGACTTGTCCAATCAGACAACTTGTTTGAAATCCTCTATTGTCTAATTTTCATAAGTACAGGTTCACAAATAACGTTTTTCTTTATTGCTTTCAAAAATTAAAGACTGAAACGAGGAATTCAGGAATGGAGTCTTTCTTTGGTTAATTCATTTCAAATGGTTTATATGGAAATGGTTTTGTTTGTTTCATTTATAAAATTTAAACGTATTTGAGAAAGGGTTTGACAACAGGGTTTTTTATTCCTAACCACCAAACTTTTGAGATATTTGCGTTCAGTTTCATTAAGAATTTGTGAATAACCCAAATGTTTCTTTGGAAAGCTTTTTAACTCATACGATTCCCAAACACATTGAACAGAAGAACGAGAGCAATCTACGACTTTAGAAATCCTAGTATTTGTGTGTCCTAATTTTTTAGCTGTGATAATAGCTACTTTTTGAATTTCATTAAGTTCTTTCCACAACACATCCTTGTAGTAAATTTTTTTGCACTAGTAAAAAAAGTTTTTTCGTATAATCATATGATCAACTTTGTGTTATATAATAGGCGATTTTTTTATTTTAATCAGTTATATAACAATCACATGTAATTAAAATAAAAAAAACTGCAGCTTAATTTAGAAGGAGCGTGACAACACGCGTCTTACTTATATCACGTTGGGTGGCCACTTCTTTTTATATCTTCCTGTATATAATCCATCTATCTTTCTAAAAAATCATCTGTTCTATAATATTCTTTTTATTAGAATTAATTAAATATATTATAATCATATTGAGTAAGTATATTATTTATGTAAGATTCAATATTTATCAATTTGTTATTATTTGAAGAAGCAGATAAATTAGTAAATTGGATAAAAGGAGTAAAATCAAATGGCAAACTATTTACCTTAATTCTTGTTTAAATAAGCGATTACATTAGTATATAAAAGGTAAAATACATGTTAAAAATAAAAACTGTAACAAATTAATTGTAAACTATAATATTTTTATGTTTAAATAAAGTAAATTACATTTATAATATATATATTTAATTGAATTATATCCTAAGTAATACATATTTTTTATATATCTAAAAAAAATATAAATGGCAAAAAATATTCCTATCATTTTTTTGAAATTATCATTATATACAATTTTCAAGTTATTTTTTTGAGTTCACCTTGTATTTTAGGAAACTAATATTAAATAAAGATTTAAATTGTAATAACCTAATTTCAAAATAAAAATTATAATTTAATCAGATATTATCTAAAGAGATCTTAGATTATGTATGATATTATAATTTATATAATAATAGTATTCATAAAAATGGTTTAGCAAATTTATTTAAATATATATTATTATATTTATAATATACAATGGCTTTAAAAGATACGCAAGTAGAGTTGCTTGCTTTTAAAAGCTTATAGCTCACTAACCATGAATGCTAAAAGCATGATTTTGTGTTTATTTTATACCTTAAAACCCAAATAACATTCAATAAAAATTTGAAGTATAATTTATAAGACCAATTTTGCGCAATTTAGCAATCTACATCAAATTTATTTACTTAATGAAGTTTAAATGTAGAATTTTTTCAGTAGGCTGGCTATACATAAAATCGAAATGAAAATCCAAAAGTCAAAATATTTTGACTTTGAAAGTTAAAAAGTCGAAAGGGTTGAAATGATATCATATCACATGATTTTTTATATAGAAAAAAATTACAAAAAAATAAAAATGTATGATCTTGATCAATATCGCTTTGATTTGTATGAAACTACTACCATTCATTTCCTTGTGATTAGATGGATCTAATAAACTAACATTCATTGATTTTAGATTAGCTTTTTTTAAAAAACGCAGTAATACATTTATTTATTATAAGAAATTCATAATCAATTAAAATAAAAATGATAATTCCAAAAAAAAGGTACAAAAGTAGAAAAATAAAAAATGCTGCTTAATAATTATCATTAGTAAACTAACTTCAATCAGACCAACTGGTTGTCCTGTCAGATTCCAATAATAATTACTAGTAGAATTACCATCACCATCCAACTAAAGAAGAGAAAAACGTTTGATAAATAATTATTACTGCGTTAAGAAACTAAACCATGTATGTATTATTTGATTATTAGAGATGTGTGATAATATTTTAGTTCAAAGATAGAAGGAATAGTATTAGCAAAACTGTTAATGGTGAATAAACTATAATTTTGTATTTTGCTGTATTTAGAAATATTAAGAGAATGTTCTTTTTATATAATAACTTTACATTTTGATTTCTATATGATTTTATAAGTTTGATCAAAAATATAATCGTAAAATGGAAAGGGAATTTTAGAAGTAAGTGATAAGAATGAGTAAAAGAATCAAATAAATTAGGAAGAGCAGTAGGAACAATGCCTTTGATAAAGTCTATGAAGGAAAAATTGTGAAGATTCTCTTTTAGAGTCCAGAAAGAATTTGAAGGAAGTAAAAGTGAAGTGATATCAGAAGAGTAATTCATTCTTGAAGTTTATATAAAAAGTTGTTATTTTAGTACTTATAAGGCTGCTGTTATAATGAGTTTCATCTCTTTTTTGATATTGGTATAAATTCATATGTGATTGAAGCTTTCTTTATGAATATTATAGTGACAACACTTTCATGATAAGTTATATATCACAAGTTAAATTGCTTTTATGAATTCAATAGTAAGAATTTGCTCAAAAAAAAATTTAAGCCTTCTATAGTATACTTGAGATTCTTTAAAAAAGGTTTCTGAAAGTGCCAAGTTTAATGAATCAAAAAGTTAGTGACCAAGTAATTTGAAGTTAGCTATATTTACTGTTTCTTTTTAAGTAATAAAAATCAATAAATTGTTTGATATTAGTGTAATCTTTAAGGAATAGATGTAATGTGGTTAGAATAGGCATATTATTAATATAAAAATATATGAGAAGAAAGAAGTTTGATTAAAAATGATTGGTAAAGAAGTAGAAATTAAAAAAGATTTAGCTAGTTGATTAACTTTATTATTATAAGAGTTATCAGAATGTG